TATATATATATAAGAAGCAAAAAATGACCTTTTTCAATGGGTATGGTTAAAATTCATTGAAAACATATAGATGAATCAATATACAATTTTGAGGAAGATTGGAGGTGATTTGGACTGATTTGGTATAAAAAAATTCGTAGTTAAAATCGAGTTCAAAAAATTCTTCTGCGACACATGTATCGCATGTATCACACACACTGGTATACATGTGATACACATTTGATACAAATATGATACATAAATGATACACATATCATTTATTTTCATGTTCCATCTTCTACTTCCAATTTTCAATTTAAACCACCTCAAAACTCCGCCAAATCGTCCCAAAACTGAGATTCAAACTCTCATGATAGCCTCAAAAAGGTAGACAATTGTGCAATGCCACTTTTGTTTCCTTATGCTTTAATCAAATGCTATAGAGTTTGGAATGCCAAACTCTCAAGGTAGGATGTAGGGATCTTTTTCCTCTCAACTGTACTCAATTTTTCTGGAAGTTTAATAAATTAAAAGGCCGCGCAATTTAGTTTTAAAAAAAGAAAAAGTATATATGCCACAGAGTGACATAATTTTGTTTCCTTAAAAAATCACCATTCAATAACCCACGAGTTAGTAAGGTATTAAATTCCAATTGTGAAGATACAAACAGTCCAAAACTACGAATTTGACATTTTTTGGAGCCAATTCAACAGTGACTCTGTTAAACATGTACCGTTGACAGAGATGATGTTAATCATTGCTGTATTAACAACATACACAAACCTAATTGCAGGAGGGCACATTGGGAGTAAGAGAAAGAGATAGAAGAAACACTCATTATCAAACTTTTATTAAAAACCGCAAAAAAATGTATACATACAAACTTCATATAATTATTGAGAAGCTTGAGCAAAAAAAATTCCTTTTTTACTCAAGAAATGAATACAATATAATGCATTATTGACTCTCATATAATTTGCCGTGTTCCTACATTTTGCTCGCATCAAGTTGTGAAGAGGAGGAGCTAACTCCTTTTTGAATGGCAATATCCAAATTTAGCATTTTGGTAGATCCTTTGGAGGTGGCAAAAGTGACTCATTTGGACCCTTGCCATTATCTACAAGGAAGGCCATCTTCAATCCCCATGTTGTATGCAC